TATATATATATATATATATATATATATATATATATATATATGTATATATATATATATGTATATATATATATATATATATATCTTTTTTTTTGCATGCAATGTAGATATATATTAAATATGTATGTGTGTGACACGTCATATTAGGAGACCAAATTAAAAATCCCCTCCCTTTATAATATTAAGTCAGTAAACGTGAGACAATTACATTGACCCACGTGGCCTTCCATCGTTATAGGTAGGGACCGATTCTCGACGTAGGTTAAGTTGGTCGAGTCACTCGTGGCTCACCTATTTCGTGATTCACTATCTTGCCTACGACATAAAGATGTCACCGGTGACCTGAGGACATGGTATGCTTAGTCGAGTCACTCGAAGGCATATTGTTGAATTAGACTCATCTTCTAACGATGGTGATAACTTAACCGAACACCATGGATGGTCGAGTCACTCAAGGTCATGGTGATTCGGAGGTCGAACAGGACGGAAATCACAAGGAGTTGTGATTGGCAAGAGTTGCCTACTTTTACGAGCTTAATGTAATTGGTTGAGTCACTCAAGGTTACGTTAAGACGCCGATTGGATCCCGATCCCCACTAGAGATCTGTCGGGGGTCTTCGATTCACATACCAGAGGGAGTTGTGTGATTCGCGAGAAAATAGTTGGAGTAGATTAAGATAGAAGTCCTTATCTTAATTATTTATTTTTCAACAAAATCTACATGTTATTTATTTCTACTACATCTTTATTTTCAGAAATATGTCACATTTAAATCCCTTACGAGGCATACTTGATGTCAACCGCTTCACTGGTCCAAATTACTCTGTTTGACTCTACAACCTGAGAATCGTTCTCACGACGGAAAAAATCACGTATATCCTTGATACAGTGATGCCTACGCCCGAGGAAGGGGCAAGCAAGGATGAGATTGCTCGCTACGTGAAGTACATAGACGATTCCACTCTTGCTCAATAGTATATGTTGGGCTCTATGACTCCTGTGTTATAGAGACGGTATGAAAACATGGATGCCAGATCTATTCTCCTGCATCTTTGCAAATTAATTG